CCGCCGCAGCGGAGCAGGAGCCCCCGCGGAAGTCGCCGGGCGGTCGGTACCGATTTTTGTGTGGCCCCCAAGTTCTGCCTAAGAGCAGCCCCGTACTGGGAGGCGGTGGCGGCGGCGGCGGTGGCATTTTTGCTCGGGACGTTTCTGCTGAATGATTTGATTTCGCGAGTTTAAAGGGTTTTTAATCATTAACCACTCCGATTTAAAATTCGCCAAGTTTCCTGAAGGGAGTGGCTGTCGTCCTGTACGCAAATCAACCAGGGCTTTTCTTTCGTTTTCTCTGCCGATTTACCTGCCCCAGTAACTGCCCGAATGGCAAACCCAGCCGGTTGCGCTTCTCGGCGAGGACTCCCCGGTAGCGGGGCTCGCCGCCCGCCCCAGCCCGGCCCCGCAGCCGCGGGGGCGCTGCCGGTGCCCGGTGCCCCCGGGAAGGAGGGAGCGCAGGTGGGGTCCGTCCTCACCCGCCTGCCCCCCCCCCCAAAAAAAAACCTGCCTTTCCCCAGCTGTGTGGCGTGTCGGTCTGGCAGGGAATTTGCGAGAGCGTATTCCCTGGATTTCATTTATCCGGGGGACGCTATTTGTGACTCAGCAGCGAGGGCTGGAGGGCTCATGGCTCCGGTGGCTCCGAGGAGCCCTGTGCCCGCACCCAGCCACGCACGGACCGAGCGGGCCCGAAGCTGCTTTGCTGCCGGGGAGACTGTTAAAGGCCCGGCAGGTCCAATGTAGGAAAGTAACTAAAAGCAGCCGGGATGAGCTGAAATCTTCGTTTTTTATTTAAGGAGGGGTGAGGAAAACACGCCAGGTTAGCTCGCCACGCTCCCAGCTGTTGGAAGGAGTTAACTTGTGAGTGAACCAACCTGACAGCACTTAAATTCGCTCGTAAAAACAAAGTCCTGTGGTGATTTTTTTTCCTAGCTCCTCTCCCAGCTGCTGGGCTCTGGCCTGTTTAATGAAGATTGATTGCCTTCAGGAGGCCATCTCTGTCTAGACTGCCTATGGCCCCATTTTTACTACCAGGGGTGGTGGGGGGTGGTGGGGGGGGGGGGGGGCGGTGCGGGCCGCCGGCAGGTGTAGGGCACCGGCAGCCGGGGCTGCGGGAGGCCGGCACCCCGCGGGGCCCCGCCGCCCCCGGAGGAGGGCCCGCCAGCTGTTCCCTTCGCAAGGCGGCGGTGACCACATTATTCGCGGCGTCTATTTTAAAAAAAAAAATGGCTTTCCAGCCGCAGTTGTAGGAAGCCGGCGAGTCCGAGGGGCAGCTCCCCAACCCCTCGCAGCGCCTTGGCTTTGATCGCCCTCGCCTCCCAAGGGTGCACCCTTGTGAGAGCTCTTCTCCCACGGAGTGTGCCCTGCTCGGTCCGGGGTCGGGCAGACCGGGCATGGCAAAGCCAGGGGATGCGTCGAGGCTCCCGGCTTATTTGGGGGCGGGGAAGGGATCTCGGTGCTTTTGACATTGCTGTTGTGTTTGTCCGGAGGTTACGGAATAGCAGATGCTATTTGAGTTTTGGTGATTGTAAAGTCTTCCGATGATCCTGGGAAGGTCTGCATCCCAACTCGGGAGCTGCCCGGGGGAGAGCGGGCTAACTTGGTCCCTCTGAGCGTGTGAGGGTAAACCTGCGCCTGTGTGGATGTGGGGGGACGAGTCAGAAGGAAGTTTTCCTCCAGAAATAAGGAGGACAAAGAGAAAACCCCGGGGGCTGCGCGTAAACTCCTCTCTGGGCTCTGCCCTGTGGGAATCCCCCTCCCCGCACACACACACACACACACACACACACGCACACACCTCTGGAGAGACATCAGATAAGAGTAATTCTTTTGTGATGCTATGTTGGATGTGTGCCTATTGCATACAATAAACCGAGCCATATTGTGTGTCTATACTCGCCCAGTTCTGGGAGCCCTGGCATTTCGCAATTCCTGCAGCAAGATGTCCATCTCTGAAAGAAAAGCTCCCCGGGAGAGCCCGGCTCGGCCCCCCCCCCATAATGCCATCTCAGGTGATCAAAGCCTTAAGTCTCCCGGGTGACAAAAGAAAAAAAAAATTTTTTTTTTTTTTTTTTGATGCAGTCTCCTTTAGTCTAGGGCATTCGCTAGACACTGGAGTCATTGTAAATTCAGGAACTCTGTAACAGCGGAGAGGCGTGCCTCTGTGCGTCAGCACAAGTACTGCATGCACAGCATTAAAAAAATAGGAGCATGCAGGAAAAGGAAAAAAAAAAAAGCTTGTCAGCAGGTGACCTCCGCTCCCCGGGACCTGCTGCTACAAGGAACCGCTGCGTTCATCAGCTGCGGGAGCCGCGCAGCCGCCCGCCCTCCCGCCTCCCCACCTCGCCCTGCCGGCTCCGGCTCCGGCTCCCGGGCTGGCCCGGCGGGTTCAGCGCCCGGGGGGCGGCCCCGACCCCGACGGGGGGGTGTCCCTGCGGCCGCCTGTCCCTTCTGCTGATGGATGCAGGGCCCCCCCTTTCCTCCCCGTGCTGTCTCCGGGGGGAGCCGGGGAAGGGGGGGTGCTTGAGGAGCGCTCAGCCCCCCGGGAGTGGCAATCGGGGGGCTCGATTTTAGAGGGAGGGAAGGGCCCCGAGCAGCCCCCGCGGTCTCCCCCGCTACAGAGCGGAGGGGGTGGGGGTGCGAGGGCGCTGGAAGAGCCTTGAAACCGAAGCAGGGCCCCGCTGCCTCCTGGGGAGCCGTGGCTGTCTGCGCTCCCGTCTCTTAATTGGCATCATGTGGGGGAGCGGGCGGAGCGGTGACAGCTGCGACAGGCGGGACGCATCCCGGCGGAGCGCTCCGCTCCGCTCAGCACAGCGCCGCGGCCCCGGGAGCCGGCGGGGGGCCGGGGGACGCCGGGGAAGCCCCAGCCCTCGCCCCCCATCACCCAGCTTCTGAGCCACCGAGGGCTCAGCTTTCCTCTCCTCCCTGGGCGAGGGATCTCTCGCTGAACACACGCTCTGCCCGGGGCTCCGCCGCCGCTCCCCGGCTCCCTGCCTCCCCGGGAAGTCGCACAAAGAAGCGGCTGGCAGAGATGCTTGTTTACCCTCTTCGCCGCTGGCGTGTTAGGGTGCTAGGTGGAAGCTGAAGCGCTTCGATCCAGCAGTACAAATAGAGCCTATATATAGCCAAAGACAAAAATGTGCCAAGGGTGGAACGGCAGCAACAACAAGATGTGTAGGTGCAGAGGTGTTCGTTGCTTAAAGCCATGGCAAACGCTTCTGCGAGTCTCTTCTTCGCTAGAGCTAAACTGGGTGAAAGTTAAAATTTCAGGTTGTGTGAAGGACCTGCCTCCTCTCTCCTGCGGGCCTGGCAGCAGAGCAGGACCAGCCTTCACGGCCAATGTCCCGGTGTCCTGCTGCCGTTCAGCAGGGTCAGAGTTGGATCGTGTGGAAGAAGGTGCAGGAAGCACCGATGTGGGCACGTAAAGGAGTAACTTTCCCCAAAACTTTCTCCCTAACCTCTTTGTGGAGGAATAGGTCTTTGCCTTGAAGTGGTTTCTTTAAAGAAAATGTTCAATGTCTGACAAGAAAATATTCAGTATCCCGTGTACTGAGACTACTATTTCCTCTTTCCTTCCCTTCCCTTCCCAATTTTTAGCTATAAATAGGGCCCTAGCTTTTAAATTTTGGAGCTGTCCTGATTTTTGTTTGGTCCAGCCTCATTTTGAAGAGGAATATCTATTTTAATATCTGGTTCACGTCTTAAGTATTAACTGTATATTATAGAAACTCTACAGTGAAAATATCCACAGGAGTGCTGGGCCAAATCATGCAATCCTTAAACCTGCAATACTTGTGTAAGACTCCACATAATCTCTTGAAGGACTTAACAGCATGGCACATAAAACTGGCTGTGAATAGGCTTTTGAATATTTCAAATGAAGAAGTCTCTACTCTGATCTCAGATATGTGGATGCTCAATGCCAAGTACCTTAAATTCATCTTCTGCACTTACAATGGGATGTGACAGTGCTTTTTTGTTCTTTTGACGCACTAAGCAGCATGCACCCAAATACTTGAAATGAGGACAGCAATTAAAGTCTACATTTATACTGATGTGAAAGATGCCAGACTTACTAACGTAGCTATAGTATGGTACAATACACACTTAACATAAGATTTAACCTCAGTTAAAATTGCTTGGTAGTATGTATCAGGTAATATGATAGTTTGGTAAAAGCTTTACAGCAAAAGCCTGAGTAAGAAATCTGGAAGTATTGCATGTCCAGATATAATGGGAATGTTTAAATTGTTTCAATGGATCGATTGTATTTGAGATACCACATACACCAGATAAACAGCATGCTACCACTTTTTATTACTTTGAAATTTTTTTCCATAGTTACAAAATATTTCCTCCCAGTATTTTTTTATTTGTGCATATGTAGAGAATAATTTAAGATGCCCAGGCCTTAAAACAGGGTTATCAAAACAGTAAGACTATGGTGTTTGTAGTACTGAATAATATATAAGGTAATGATCAATAGTCCCTTACCGGGAATACATTTCATCTTTACATTAGCTTGGCTATAAATTTTCCCTATTGGCTTCAATTTGTGCTGTGTTAGATTTATGTGATTCATGCCTGTTATTGATTAGTGCACAACTATTTTGTGGGAGATGCCAAATTAATTGTTCAAAAAATCCATGAAAGTGCTTTTTTATTGGCCACGTGAGGCCTGACACATACTATACTCTTATTTTATTATTTCATGTAAATACAGTTTCCAATAAGCTTTTAAAAATAGTTTCGCGATACGCTTAGACATGAAAATTCATCAAATATATTGAAAATGCTACTCTGTGCTTTATTTTGTGGCTCAGAAAGTAGCATAATGCAGCAGTGTGCAAGCGACCGATGCTGGACAACTCCTATGAGATCATTACAGCCTTACACCACTGCTCCCAAAGAGGAAGCAATTTCCATTTTTAATACAAGACTTCTAGGTTTATGCAAGGTTTGGCTGGTAGCATCCTCATTGAAGAGCAGGGAAGGCTGCCAAAAAAACACCCAACCCCTCCGAACCAGCTGAACTGATATTTGATACAGATACTTGCTGCACTGTGCACAATGATGCTGAACCTAGGAGCTCTGCAGAAGCAATGCTTCTCTGCAAAATGTTCTTATTTCTACTGCGCAAATGTCTGTGTGAGCTCGCTGTTACGTGTTACTAAGGTTTAGAATATTTTAAATTTAAAATTTGAGATAGTAAATAATAACACGTGGGAGAGAATGGTTAATATCTAGACAGTAACATGTGAGACACTGGACTATACTAATGATTTTCATTTCTTGAGCCTCTGGAAGATCATACTGTGAGTAAATCTTTCCCCATATTCCTGATGCCTGGAAGCAGATCTTTTGGTTCCATGTGTAACATTGTTTTTGTCTTACAATTCTGATTCAAGTCTATTTTTTCAGAGTTTACTTTGCGAGAGAAATTTCATAAATTATTACTGCTAATTTGGTAATCTGAAAATTTGCATTTTTTTTTCTTTGAATGTAATATTTGTTGTGCAAATCAGAATATGACTGAGCTTTAGATTTGTGTTTTAAAATTGTGAGAAAGATTGAGTGTGATCTTTTCATTTGGTGTGTTAATGCTGTCTGCAATGCATCGTTCCAGCAGGGACTTCTCTATTGAAGTATTGCACTTTAAGATATATTCATTTGTTCTTTATCTACCTCTAAACAACTCTAAAAATGGAAAAAACACCTTTTAAAATAGGTGCTTGTTGCTCAGGCATCAGTCACATCTGAAAAAGAGTATCTTTCAATGCAAACAATATGTACATTGTTTGTTTTTTCCTGCATTTTATAGGTATACTGGAATTTATCAGTATAGCAGTGGGCTTGGTCAGCATCCGAGGAGTCGACAGTGGACTCTACCTTGGAATGAATGAGAAAGGGGAACTGTACGGCTCGGTAAGTTCCCACTTGCCTTGTGCAGTCACCATCCTTAATGTTCGGTGGGGAAAATGCTTGCTAGCTCCCGTGAGCCCCTGTTGCACTGGGTGCTGTGGATGCACTCTTTCTGTTTTACATAGTTTTAAATATCTTGCAGTCTAATTAGAAACAAGACCCTATGGGTGGTGTAATGAGTACAGAAGAGGTAAAAAGTGACAAAATCAGGAACTGGTAATAGTGCAGACGGACAATTTGGATACAAGCAATGGAGATTGATGGCCAAAGCTGGTCATTGAAGGCTGAAGGAAGTACTGTAAGATTTGTAAAGCCTGTCCTTTCAGTAGAGACCTAAAGCAAGATAAAGTTGCTGCCTCTTGTGCGTGGGCAGAGAGCTTTCTAGGAATTGACAAAAGAAAGTCGAGGAGGAGGTAAAGGATGGCATATGTGGATGAGAAAATGAGAAATAGGAGTGGATAATAGTTATAAAAAGTACAGGAATGAGAGCAAGAGGCGTGGTGGTTTTGTCCTGAAGGTTCAGCTGCCGCTCCCTGCGGCATGGCAGCAGGAGTGAGTAACGGGTGTAAGCGAGGGGTAACACTTGGTATTTCAGACGTGGGGATTAGGCTGGCAAACCAGCCTACCAGCAGCTGATGGGTGACCATCCTCAGCAACATGGGCTGTCTCGCATCAGAGGAGTGTGTGTGCGTGTGTGTGTGCGCGTGTGATGTGATCCTTATCTGGGAACACTGCAGACATCTGGCGTACACCGGGGTTCACACCCTGGGTAGATTGTGGGCAGGGTGCCTGAGATAGAGCAGGTAACTCCCCAAATAGTGGAAGGCAACCTCTTCTAGCAGTAAAGTGTCAACCTCTAAAGGTGATGAGGACTAGAGAAGCAGTGGTATCTGAGGAAGAGGATGGCAGGTTTGAAGGGAAAGCAAATGTCTAAAGTGAAGGTGGGCTCTGGATTCACTGGGGCTCATTAGAAGCATGGAGGAGGGGATGCCAATAGTCAGCTAATGGCATAAGCATTGAAAAGAGAGGCACTCAAAAAGGAGATAAAGTGATAGAGTGTGGCTTTGGGTGTAGCTGAAAGTGTCAGAGGGGAGTAATGGCAACTGGGAAAAGGGTGAGGAGGGAACTGAGAGGGACAACAGTGAGAGTGGGTCAACAGTGAGAGTGGGAGGAAACGTGAGAAGATGGTGGTGAGGGGTCAGGTGGAAACAGGAGGAGTAAGAGGGAAGTCTAGCTTCCCAATACATGATCCATGGAAGAGTGAGAGGAAGCAAGGCCAGGAAAGTTCAGTAGAAGTGTTTTTTTATGGGGGAGAGGTCCAGCTTCACTGAACCCATTCTAGCAACATGTTGTGTGAGAGAGGGAAGGTAGAGAGGGGAAGGTGCTGAATAAAGAGCAGGCTAGGGGAGGAAGCCAGAGGGTACAGATCATGAAGAGTGCATGTGGGAGGCAGAAAAAGAGGTGGTAGAATGAGGGGCAAGGCTGGGACAAAGAATGAATTGACATGGAGGAGGAGGGGAGATGCAGCGATGGGGAGAACCAGTGAGTGGGAAAAGCCAAAGGAAAAGGTTTTAAGCATAAATGGCCATATGAGGAGGAAAAGGTTGGAAGGATGGTGAGGAAGAGAGAAGGGGAATGGATGTAATGACAGATGTAAACAAGCTGCCTGTAAGGAGTGAGTAAGTTGTCCTAAGTCCCAGTCCTTGTGCAGCTGATGTATGATGTACAGAACTGGTGAAGTAATGAGTACTTTTATGGTTCTGTTAGGCAGCAAAAAGACAGAATAACAACAGTAATATGAATCAGTAATGTTGGTAATCACCAGTAAAAGTAATAATTTAAATAGATAAACATAGTGAATCAGTTACTCTGCACTTCGGATATTCAGGAAAAGAAAATGTGGCTATTGATAGAGCTTAATGCATAGACTCAGGAAAGCAAATGTTACATCACTTTTCTGTGCAATTTATACTTTGTGCTTGTAATACGTTTGACTGTCAGAGTGAATTACTCAAAACATTCTTTGCTGAAGAAATATGCACAAGAAATTCTTTGTAAATTACTAAGATCACTGTGTTAATAAAATAGTTGTTCCATGAACAGCAGTTCTAAAGGAGCCTGCTTTCCTAAGGGTTTGTGTCTCACAGTCCGAGACACAGGTCTTCCTGACCTTCTGTCCCTTCAGTAACACAAATTCCTGAGCCTTTTGTGTTTCTTGCATGGAGAAACAGACAGCGTTAGCTGCCTGTGCTCACTGGACTGTCAGTTTGCAGGGATTACATAGCTCACCACTCCCAAGTGGGACGTGCAAATGATTTCTCTTCCTTACCCTGCCTCTGATTAGTTGCAAAACTGATAGGAACTTAATTTTCTTGAAGACCTTTGCCTCCTGATTGAGACTGGTTGAAAAGCTAAGGAAGGCAGGCAGATGGATGTACAGTATAATTGGATAACCTCTTTTCCCTAAGAAATGACACTAAAAATATGAAGCCATTCATAATGGAGAACTGGCAATCTATAGGGCCAGAATGCGAAGTTCAGGTTAAAATCTGATGGATGATATGGCTTATTGTCAGCCTCCAGAGATGGCACATACTAAAGAGTGATGGTAATTGAATTACATTACTGCCAATGAAATATAACCTCTAATGGCTACTCAGTGTGATGATGCTTTAAAGCCTTGTCAACACTAGCAATCCTAGTGCCTATATTTCAGCAACTGTCAGCTCTGGTAGAAACACTGAGATAAGCAGGACTCAAAGCAGATTTTTGTGTAGAATTGGCTGGACATTTTTAAGTGACAGTGTTTTGCTTTTGGTCAAAAAAGTGCAATTAATTGAAAATGAAGTACTCTGTTGGGAATAAACGTCACAGTTTGAACCAGAAGCAAGTCACAATCCAGCACAGAATTATCTTTCTGGTGAAAGAGAAGATCAGTTTAACTGTTTTTAATTAGTTTTGAGGCTTATACGTGACAGACCGAGGTTCAAGTTTTTCACCTGAATTAAGCAAGGTGGTCGCTGGAGTTGGACTGTTCTGTAGTACCAGCAGGTTGTCCTTGTGCTGCCTGTGCTGGGAGATGGGTCCCTCTGTCTTGGGTTCTATACTAAGGGCTGTGAATAGCATTGGCTTTGTCACAAAGCCACTATGCTTAGGAGGCTGCGAACGTGCTTTTGAAGGTGGGAAAACTGTTTCCCATGCACAACTGAATAGCAGCCTAAGAAATACGAGGTCCTGCTCTGCATCAGCATTGTGGATGTAAGCAGGTGTGGTTCTGCAAGCATCCAGTACGGCAGCATTTGACACTGCCGGAATAGATGCCCTGTGTCTATGGCAGCATCATAGTTATATTCAAATTACTACACGAAAAATACATTAGGTGTGAATCAAATCAGCAACCTAAAAGACTTATATCCTTCTACATTTGTGTTTGAAACATTTGGCACAGGAAGATTTTTCCCAGCATATTTGTGGTGCCACTGGAGATGGGACATATGGTGAAGCAGAGCAGCCAGAATGGGTGATCGCTGCCAATTTTCATAAAAGGCAACAGTAAAGGCAGTTTCAGCGTATCTTGATCCAGACATGTTCCTCTTGGCCTTCTCAACGTGCTGCTTTCCTCCTAGATTAGCTGCCTGACAAACACTCTTCTCAACTTGCCGCTGTTACAGGGGGGCAGTTCCCCCTGCATCTCCTGGTTAAAAAAACCCTAGTGATTCTCACGCTGCTCTCAGGCAGCAACGTATAACATAGGGTGGCTCTTCTGAAGTTCCTCCTCATCCCACAGATTTAGCCAGGGAAACCTGAAGATGTATGTATGTGGTACTGCGGAGAAGCCAGTGGTAGCTACATAGCGATGACTTGGAGGCTGGTGAGTGACAGCAGCTTTCCCTTCTGTCTTGCTCTGTTCCTGCTCTCCCTTTACCTTGCCTTCCCCTTGCAGCCTGCAGCTATGACTCATCATGTTTCACAACAGCTACTGTGCTTGTCACTGGAGAGGAGGAAAAAATCCAAACTACAGATAGGTCCGGAAGAGTGTTAAGATGAGACATGAAGACCTTCCCAAGGGCCAAATGGCTCTTGCCAACACTTCTGGCAAGAGTGTTAGCAAATGTGCCTTAGCTGTGCTCCTCAGTGCCATGCTGTGGAGTAAGTGAGGTCTTTCTTATCAGTCGTATGACCATCATGCTTTCATGGACTGTCCTTACTTTCATGCTGCCCTGCCCATCTGCCCTTGGGAATATCAGCCATTGGCACCCACATGGCAGGCAGTGATGAGTACCCACACCACGGGGTGCCCATCATTCCCAACCCAGGCTGTCCTCTCAGGCAGTCCAGTGCTACCTCAAACACAGCAGGACCATGGAACACCCTCATCTCAGCTGCCCTCCTCAGACTAGCTATAAGGAAGAAATCTTTTATGATGAGGGTGGTGAAACACTGGAATAGGTTGCCCAGAGAGGCTGTAGATGCCTCATTCCTGGAAACATTCAAGTCAGGTTGGATGGGGCTCTCAGCAATCTCATCTAGTTGAAGATGTCCCTGCTCATTGCAGAGGGGTTGGACTAGATGACCTTTAAAGGCCCCTTCCAACCCAAACTATTCTATAATTCTATGATGCTATGATTCTATGAAATGATGCTGTCTCCATTGTTCCTTGTATCTTTGGCAGGTGGCAAAAGGCAGCTCAGGTTGGATGCTCAGGCTGAGGAAAATTTGGAGTTAGAAGATCTGGAGCAGCTACAAGGGGAGCTGTGCAGGGGGTAGGAGGAAGGCAGGAGGAGAGATGGGGGAGTTGTTGGGGAAAGGAGAGAGGGCTAGGAGTGCCTGGAAGGAGAGGGAGGGTAGAGAGAGAGGCTTCATGTGCCCACAGAACAGTTGGGACAAAGCCGAAGAGCCCAGATCTAGAGCCAGGGAGGGAGGCTCTGCACCTCTGAGTTTCAGACCTACAGGGTGGGTCCCTACAGCAAAGGGAGGTTTAGGACTGCTTATAACAGGGTAAT